CACGAGTCGACTGAGCCACTTGCACCAGAAGCTTTGCAAGAAGTTGAAGACTTGCTTGGTGACGACTTTGGCGGTGATGAGCCAGAGGCGGTACCGCCAAGAGACGACTTGTCGGACTTGGAGTCTTTGGCTACGCCTCCTGACCTTGACACCTTTGAGCCACCGCACGTCACTTTGGACCAGCAAGCACAGGGCCTACCACGGTCCGCAACGGAAGCAGCTTTGCCGCAACCTGCGGCTACACGGCCTCGACTTGAGGAGGCGTCTGCTTCTTCTCCGACAAAGCGTACGTCGGAGACTTTGCCTGTTGGGACAAGCAAGGTGCAGAGAACGGCCAGCGTAACTTTTGCGAAGACCAAGAAGCGCTTTCGCGTGTGTGACTTTCGTGTCTCTGCTGTGACAACAAAGCAAGACCTTGAAGTACCGGTGTCGGTTAATCAAGATGAGAAAGAACTTTTGTTGATGAAGACACTTGAGAATCCGCACATTTGGTACCAGACCGAGTTCACACGTGAAGAGGAAGCTGCAGGCATGACAAAAGAGATGAAGTCGATGCGTGACTTTGACGTGTTCGACGAAGTCTCAGTTGAGTCGGTCTCGGAGGAGACTTTGCGGTCTGCAATTTCCACGAAGTGGGTTAAAGTGCGCAAGCCTGACGGGACTGTGCGCTGTAGGATTGTTGGGCGAGGTTACACTCAACTTGTGGAAGACAAGGATGAGACTTTCGCCTCGACCCCGTCCTTAACCACACTTCGGCTGTTGTTGACTTTGGCTGTTGCGAAGGGATGGCACATCTCGATCGGAGACATTTCGACGGCATTTCTTCATGCCCTGGTCGACGGTGACTTTTATGTCATTCCTCCTCTGGAATTCTATCCAGAGGGCCGCACTTTGTGGAAGCTCAAGAAAGCCCTTTACGGACTTAAGCACAGCCCTAAGCTTTGGCAGCAGCACTTTGCATCTGTCATGGAGAAGAACGGCTTTCGACGCATGAAGTCGGACCCGAACCTTTATGTACATGACAGCAAGCAACTTTACGTTCTGGCGTATGTGGATGACTTGATGTTTTTCGGTTCGCGGGCTGATGTTTCGACTTTGATCCGGGATCTTCAGAAGGACTTGTTGCTTAAGGTGACAGGTACTTTGGATGAAGGTCAGAGTTCGTCGTTTCTAGGCCGCAACCTGAAGCGCACCTCCACTTTCATCTCTGTGGGAATGAGCCCATCCTACATTGATACGATGCTAGAGCTTTACGGTTTGAAACAGTGCCGGCAGGCACTTGCGCCAGGAACAGATGCTTTGAGGAAGCAGCTCGACTGTGAACCTTTGGACCCTGAGGATCACAAGCGCTACCGGCGCGCTGTGGGCCAACTTTTGTGGCTTTCCAGCGTGCGCCCTGACATCATGTATGCTGTCAAGGAGTTGAGCCGAGGACTTTCTGCACCGACCACAGAACACGAAACAAAGGTCAAGCATCTTTTGAAGTACCTGGCAGGAACAAAGCACTTTGAGCAGAAACTGCAACCAACCCTCTCACTTTCACCGCAGCACAAAGCAATAGACATCAACATTTTTGTTGACAGCGATTGGGCAGGATGCCACGACACCCGACGCTCCACTTCAGGAGTTTCCCTCTTTGTGCTCGGGGCGAATATACTTTCGCACAGCAGGACCCAGGCCACTGTGGCCCTCTCGAGTGGAGAGGCAGAACTTTACGCTATAGGCTCTGGTACTGCTGACGCTCTTTTTGTGAGGTCTTTGGTGGAAGAGAGCAAGATCTTTCAGAAGGCTAACCTTTGTGTTTTTACAGACAGCAACGTTGGCAAAAGTATTGCCTCACGTTTTGGCGCCAGCCGCAAGACGAAGCATGTAGAGTTACGATATCTTTATGTGCAAGAACTTGTTGCTTCTGGTATGGTTAGGATTAAGAAAGTTCTTGGTACTTTGAACCCAGCAGATATCCTTACGAAGTACATCGCGCAGGATACTTTGCACCGCCATCTTCCTACTTTCGGGTTTGAGGTTTAGCCACCCCATCTCGGGTTGGACTTTGCCACTCATCATCTTCCCCAGAAGAACCCAGATGAGAGAGAAGAAGACTTTGAGAGCTGAGAGAATCACGTTCTTGCGGACATGTACTTTTCATGCTTGTGCGGACATGTACTTTTGCGGACATGTACTTTTGCTTGCTTGTGCAGTCTCGACATGTCTTCGACTTTCGCTCGATTTAGGAACTTTCAGTTTTCCGGAACCAACTTTGAAGGTGACCTTTCTGTTTTCCGTTTTCTCCGTTCCGAAAAGGAAGAAACTTTTACCGTGAAACCTTGATGGTGGATGACTTTTCCGATGATGGTTTTAAGGTGCAACGGCACCACTTTTAATGTACATATGTAAGCTCACTTGACTTTCCCGTTCAGGGTGTTCGGGTTTTGTCGTGGGTTTTGGTTTTAACTTTGCGCCTTTTCGTCGCCACTTTCGCTCTGCGTTGCCCGTTTCACTTCGACTTTGCCTAACGGATGGAGCCGGCATGGATGCCACAGAGGTGGTGACTTTGCTGAGATCTTGCCGTGTGACGGTACTTTCGGTGGCACGCTGGTACAGGAACCGAACTTTGTGGTTCCGCCTTTGGGGATTCCTGAGGCTTTTTGTGACCCGACTTTGGTCACTTCGGGCCTCTCTGGAGGACCTTTTGGAAACGGTCAACTTTGACCGCCGGCTGCTCGCTGACATTGCCCGTGCGAGGCAAACAACTTTTCTGGAACCAGGTGATCTGGAAACTCTGGCTGAGTCGGAGACTTTTCTCCGAAGGGAGCTCGCGGACCAGCACTTTTGGATCAGGTTACTTTATCGGTTATCTGTTCCTTTGCAACCTTTCAGGTCTGAGCTGCCCTTCTGGACGAACTTACAGTTCACTGCGTTTTTCAGTACTTTTCTTTTATCCCTGTCTGGAGTTGTGGAGCAACCCTGGCTTGGAGGAGCAAGGCACTTTCTGCAATTGCTTTTTGACGCGTACGCAGCTTACGCACTTTTCTATTTGAGGCGCTTTATCAATCAAGAAGTGCCGGACCTGCACATTTGGCCGGTGCTGCTGTGGAACTTTCTGCAGCGATGGCGCCAAAGACTTTGAGGCCGCCTGCCACTTTGCCGCCATCGATTGAGCGACCACGGCCTGGCCATGGTTTTGGTCAGGGGACTTTTGTCCCTGACTTTTCGAACTTTGGCTTTTGGGGCACTTTGCAGCTCATGCTTGAGATGCTTTTTGGTGGCCGCCAGATGGAGCAGTTGTTTCGCCCTGGGACAACTTTTGACAACAACTTTGTCCTGGGAAAGTCGATACTTTTCCCTGGGTTGAGCCCGGTGTCGCCGAGCATGACGGCACCCGAACTTTACATGTTGATGCGCAGTCAACTTTTCTGGGTATTCCATGTGAGTCCGGGGAGCACTTTGCCAGGCGATCCTTCGGCATGGTCGCCCTTCATGTTATATCTTACTTTGCCAATGAGCGTTTTGGATCGAGCCTTGACCGCTGCCCGCCAGAGTGGAACTTTTACAGTTCACTTTCAGGATGTGGTGGGTACTTTGGAAAATTGCCTGAACATTTCCTTTAGCCCACGGTCGGCTTATCTTTTCTACACTTTCCAGATGTCGATTTCTCAGATGCAGGGAGTGACTTTTCCTTTTGCTGCCAATGAAGAAATCGCTACGTTTGGCTTCCGACCAACTCAACACTGGTTGGCAGTCAACTTTGGAAGTGGACAGGCGAGGATTTGGAACAGGAGGTACGTGGACTTTCTGGTGAAAGTCGCGACTTTGCAGATTCCAATGCAGCCTACTTTTCTGACTTTTTGCGTGGTGAGACACTTTGGCCAGGCACCGTACACTTTGGTCGGCGATCTCAATCGCTACTTTGATGGTACATATGGTGTGCAGTGTCGTCACTTTCGACTGATGCACCTGCCGATCCTCCCAGAGGTGTACCAACTTTGTGAGGATATGCCCGAGGGCTGGGTGCCCCTCGCTGGCGCTACGCCGTCAACTTTGACGCGCCCTGCGAGGTTGTGAAGGCCACTTTTCGCCTTTCAAGGTTGGGCCAACAGCACACTTTTCGGTGTCTTTTGACGCTTGGTGCCACTTTGGTTGCTGCACTTAGATGGGCCAACCACTTTTGGGCCACGCTGCACTTTGATGTGCCGTGCGCAGTCACGACACTTTGCACCACGAGCACTACGCACGCTTACTTTTACAAGTCAACTTTTGAGGTTGTAGATAGGAGACCTCGTTGCAACTTTCTCCGAGCAGCTGCTTTGCAAAACTTTGGCCGTGAGCTCACACATGTACATGTACACTTTTATGTGTTATTGTACTTTGCGAGAATAAAGTAGTTAACTTTAATCTCGAGGAGGCGTGTGAAAATAACACCTCCCTTTCTCCCCCAGACTTTGCCAACCGTCGTTGGCTCAAGACCACTTTGCCCTACGAGAAAAGGCGCTGCTGAACTTCAGGGTTACTTTGGTCTAAGTCGTGTGAGCTTGTGCACGGAATTACTTTAGGGTAGTTTGGTGCGCATTCTGGACTAGTGTACTTTCGCAGTTTGGCGTGTGACAACATACTGGCTTATTATACACATACTACTGTGCACCGTACATGGTAGACATGTGCAGTAACATGTACATGCCGGTTGAATCAGGTAGACGAAACACTTGAATCTAGGAATGCTGGAGGAGGTCATACCCTAACAGCCTTAAACCTAATACAGGGATCTGGTGAAACTCTTGTAAGATCCCGTGCTTCAGGACTTGCACCGAAATCTGTGCCCGGGTCCAACTCTGGTAAGATCCGAGACTGCTGGCACGGCCTTCCCCAGCACAACTCGCACAGCTTCAGACCAGACGGCTTGCCTTTCTGAGCAATGTTGTGTGGTGCGGGTCCGTTTAGTCTTGGTACTTAGAGAGAGTCTCAGAGTGACGCCTCCGTGTGCCTTCCTTGTTTGGTATTCGGACATGTGCACAACAGCCTTGGGCCGCATTCCCAAGCCCCGAGCTCCAAATCCTGGGCGCAGCGAGAGTGAGGTCTGCAACTTTTCCCTAGCGGAGCTCCGTGTGGTCCACGATCGTTTGAAGTCCGTCCACGGCCTCCCCTTGAGCACCTGCCAGGCGGTTTAGGGTTTGGAGTTTGGGATTCAGGATGGCTCGAGGATGGCTCGCAGATACAGACTGCCTCCAGTCGAGTTAATACTCACAGTGTCATAGGATTTTGATCAGGTGGAGCTGTCGCTGCTGCGCCAGCTCCCTGTTTCGTCTGGCTTAGACGGAGCCCCGGAATATCCGAGTGCAGTGACAAGACACTCTACCGAGAGTGTCAGGCAAGTACCAAAACATCGGACCCCGAATTGCCTGAGGCCCCCGCGAGCCCCATGCGGCCAGTCTCTACTAACCCGCTACACTCAGCATCAGTATTTCCTGATGACTACGGCGACATGGTGGGAAATCAGGTACAAGCACACCGAGTAACCTAGTATGTACATCCATACACTCGCAAGAATGCGGGATTCGCTTCTCAAGCGGGGCACAACACCAGGCATGGCCGCCCCTGTTTGTTTTCCTGCTAGTGTTTCACGAAATGCCCAGCCCCTGATCCCGAAATTGCTACAAGTAACTTACAAGTATGCGTCCAGAGTCTCATGAGGTTGCTTCTGTCTTATCCTTTTCTGATTGTCTTCATTTAGCTACGACCGTTTCAGAGAAGGCACATGCAGTTGGCTTCGAAACCAACCCTGGCAAAATGCACCAACCGGCACTGGGATCCTGCAACTGGATGCTGCAAAACATCGTGATACATCATGAATGTCTGTAATGTACAACGCTCGAACTGCCAACCCCCAGCAAGAGTGTTGGGTACCAGGAGGATTTATCATATTCCAAGTTCGCTCTGGTTTTTTGACATGGTGTTCTTTGCTGTTGTTTTGGCGTTTGTTTGCTTGGGAAGGGGTGTTTAACCTTCTTGCCTCCACGGTGCCATCCTGCCCTCCGATCCGTCGATCCGATGACCCCGGCCGATCATTGACACGAGGTTTCTTGCTTGTCCATGTTAGAGATCCCCTTTTCTACGGATGGTTAGGGATTCCTGATACGGTACTTGAAAAGGAATACTTAGCAAGCCTCCATCTGTCTTTCCTTCCCAACAAGGGCTCGCACTCCTTACGAAAGCAACAGCACGACACGTAGGTGACACCGTGGTTGGAGCAACACTACAAGGCATTATTGCTCTTGCTGACAACTTTCTCACCTGAATCGTGCACGATTGTCCGGCACTTCTTTTCGGCTCCCCCGCCAGTGCGTACCGCCCAGTGATGTCATCCAGGTCAATGGCTGTCGCGAACTGGGGATCACGGCACGGGGCCCTGTTCAGGGTTACCAACTCCCCCCTAAACCCGAAAGCCCCTAACCCTAGACTCCTGAGCCCCCCCAACCCATCCCCCCGCCCCAGTCCCGGTGTTGAAAAAGGTTGCCCCGGAGCAAAGTCCCGTCTTTACGAAGCTCGGCCCCGGGGGCTTCGGAGTGTCCATTTCATTCTAAGTTACCTCATAAACTCGGTCCTCCTAGAGTTTGTTTACAGTAGGGGGTTTAGGGTTTAGGGTAAGTTTAGGGTTCAGTAGGTTATATGCTCTGTTACAGTATAGAGACGAAGGGGCGGTACTACGAAGTGGGTCCAATGTCCAAGCCGCTTCTCTTCTGCTGGGGAGCCGCCTGGGTCTTCCATTCAGGGTTGGGGTTGGGGTTGAGGGTTCATAGGGGGCCAAAAGGGGTTTTAGCCTATGGGGGTTTAGTAGGGATTAGGGTTCCCATGATAGGGTTCATACTAAGGAATCCCTACCCCAAGAATCTTAAACCCCCCTTTTGGCCTCCCATCAGGGTGTACTGTAGAAGACCAAATACTTGCCTATGTTCTTCCTTATGGATTGATTCCTTATGATGGTTGTGCAAAGGACCCTGAAATCCTGTTCTGGAAATTCTGGTCCCTACATTAGCCTGTTCAGGGTTGAGTCCTTGAGGGTTTCGACAGATGTATTTTTTCTACAGCTCGCAGCTAGGAGGCCAAACGCGAACTCGGCTTGCCCATTTCAGGTCGAGGTTGTGTAGAAGCCATTGTCACTCTTTAGGCACAGAGCTCCGATCGAATGCTGGACATCAGCGCGCATTCGCGAACCTTTGCAGCTCCAGCCTGAACGAGTAGCCTTCACTAAGAGCCAGTGCAGGTATTGGCATTTTCGCCTTTGGCAATGGGTCGTCTTAGTGGTCAGTATGCCGCGGCCTAAGTGTGGAGCTCTGCTCAAGCACAGGACTGACATCACGACCAACACTGGTGTGGCCATTACCAAAGGCGGCTACAACACATCCACCGCACCAGTAGCACTGCCAGCTTTAGTCTCTGCAAGGGTCTCACGCAGTATCCGGGCTTGAACACTGGATAGAGACAGGCAGGCACTGACTCAGAGCAAATAAGTTGTTGTAGCCATCCGCAGACCTTTCAGAGGATCGCTTAATCGGGCTCTCGGGAATGGCGCAGCAGAGGCGGAAGGTGGTGCTCGCGCTCTGCCTGCTGGCCCTGGTTTTTCGGGGCCTCGCTCCCGAAGACTTCGTCGGCTCGGCCCCTCCGCAAGCGCTAAAAAGCAGGGAGGGGCGAGGCAAGCAAGGCCTTGTGGTCAGGGAGAGCTTCCAGAACCCCTTGGCGGGCCCGGATGGCAAGATCGACCAGAAGAAGGTTGGAGCCGACCAGCCTTAAGCTCTGTAGATGCTCTTTACTTTGTATATTTGTATACGTGCAAGAGAGACAGAATCCTGTCAGAGGTCGATGCCGCGCTGGCCACGGGCTTAGACATCGCGAAGAACGTGCTCTTTGCGCTCTTCGACATCTTCAAGGAGCCCCCGCAGGAAGCGACGGGGAAGGATGCCCCTGGGCTCCTTGCTCTGGGCAACGGTGGTGTGCTCGGAGCTTTGAAGGGCTGCGAGGTCCAGTCGGTGTTGGACGCTTCTGCCAAGGATGCCGCGGCCCTTTGTGCGTCGAAGGATGGGGGCCTAGCCGTCTTCTTCCTCACGCACTTTGGTGATTTTAACTCTTGGGAGGTAGCACAGCAGCTGCGCACTGCCATCCGGGAAGGCCGCACTGGCTCTGCCCGGGTGGTCCTGGTGGGCATCGGCTCGGTGGACTCCGGCAAACTCTTTGCAGAGCAGCTGGAGTTGCCCTTAGACGCCTTGGAGATCTACGCGGATCCCAGCGGCGCCTGCCACCAGGCCTTGGGCTTCAGCACTGGTGCGCTGCCCCAGTACAAGGAGAGCCTGAACCCCTACTTCCGCGTCTTTTTGATGCTGCTAGGCGTCGGCTCACCGGGTACAATCCGGACGGTCTTGGGTGGCTACTTCGGCAACACGGCCTTGGCACTGGAGGAGACTTCCTGGGTGGACGAGGCACTGAAGCAGGGCGCCCAGAAGGGTCGCTTCCCCACCTCGGTTCCCCGACGCTTGCCATGGGAAGAGAAGCCTGCAGATGGTGGCCCAGAGTGGGTGGAGCTGGCGAGCGCGGGCTCCGAGGTCTGGAACAATCGTGGCTTCGGGGAGACGGGCCTTCGACCCTTCGAGCTGGCGACCGTCCGGTTGCAGAACATGATGGGTGGAATCATCGCTAACTGGGACAGCCTAAAGCCCGCAGACGACGAGCTCCTGGTTCAGCAGGGCGGTGCCATCATCTTTGACGGCGAGGAGGTGAGCTACTTCTTCCGAGATAAGGGCATCCTCACCTATGCACCTGTGACGACAGCTCTTCAGTCACTACCCAAGAAGTGAGACCTGGCTAAGGAGCTGTTATACGAGCAGTCAATCTTCTCAACTGAACGACAAGAAGTTCAAGAAGCAAGCCAGTTTTCGTGCACCTCGCACCGCTGATGTCTTCGAAATGCGCCTCCATCTGCACATGTAGAACCTGTACATCTAGATATATCTATAGCTAGGTAAATAAATGAATGTATGTGTATATATGTATGTATGTATGTATGTATATATATATATATGTACATATATATAGATAGGTATAGTTACATTGGGCCAACTTCTCCCAAGCTTCCCGGCATTTCGCAGGCGGCGCAGCCCGAGACCCTGAGGCTAGAGCTCTCCCAGGTCAGTTCGTTCTCTCCCCACCCGAAAATCCAAGAACCGGTTGCAGAGTCGGCTACGTATGACAGTTAGGGGATTGAATGGGCCCAGGTAAGAAGTCTCTGCACTGGGGAAGCTAGTCTCGTCAATCCCCCAGGTTTTCCCCTATGTCTCAGCATTGTTAAGCTATGGCGGACCAGGTTCTCGCCTTTTGCAAGGGCCCGGCATGAGACAAGAACCCTTCCGAAAGGTCGTGCATGCGGTGGGACACCCGTCATCACCAAAGTCTGACAGCTCCGATCCGAACCCCAACTCCCAAAGATCCCTCGCTTTCTCTACCCGCTCCTTTCGGCCCAAAATTAAATCAAGATGCCCTAATGCCCTTAATTGAACCCTTGGAAGCCCCCACACCGTTCAGGAGCCTCCACCCCCAAACTGGTTCTGACGTGCTGTATCAAGGTACCGACGCTCAAACATACATGAACCCAAGCTTCCGAGCTAAAAAGAGTCCAGGCAAACCATACACCCCACCTCGCTTGTAGTCTCTATTCTCCCCACCCTACCCTCCGTCCTCTAACAGGAAAAGCGAAGAGTAATCCAACTATAAAGACTACGTAAATCACATCTTGAATACATGTAGTAACGTAGTAACCGAAGAAAACTGGCAATGACATCAATTACAATGCTACAACTACTGCTGCTACTGTCGCAGCTGCTGCGACTACTACTGCTGCTGCTGCTACTACTACTACTACTGCTACTACTACTACTACTACTACTCCTGCTGCTGCTGCTACTACTACTACTACTACTACTACTACTACTACTACTACTACTCCTGCTGCGGCTGCTGCTGCTACTACTGCTGCTGCTGCTGCTACTACTACTACTGCTATTGCTACTGCTACAGATAATATGTTTGTACTAATGACAATAATGATAAGAATATTACAAACAATAGCAATAGCAATATCCACACTATCATCATCATACTCATAGGTGCAACATCAGCAATGTTAACGAATCTTAACCCTTTAACAAGAGAAGAGCACCCCTAAACCCTGAACCCTGAAGCCCTAAACCCTAGACAAGGGCCAGAAACCGTCCAAGGATCCCTTCTCCTCTTGGCCTCCCTGGTTCGAGCGCCGTCACGACGCCCGGGGCGGCCGCACCGCCTCGCGGCCTTTCGGCTGGGGAGCCCAAAGCGTACATCTGGTAGAGATGATGGATGCTTTTTTGGTCTGGGAGCCCAGAACTTGTCCTTTGAAGCGACTCCGGTGGGTTTTCGTGAACGGGTTTTTGCGGGTTGATAGACATGATGAGATGTTCGCAGCGTGTGTTGGGTACAGTAGGTGTTAATGTTTTTTGTACGTAGATTTTCATTGGGGGCTTGTACGTTTTGCTTTCAGGGTCGTTGTTATTTGCTTGTCTGGGGCTGTCTTGAAGTTCCCTAAAGGCATGAGAGGGTTCAGAGCCCGGATGACGCTTTGTTTGGAATGGATGGGGTCTTATGCATACAACTTTATCGACACTTTACGCCGTTCGGGTCTTGGGGTACAGACTTTTGCTTTTTCACGCGGGTTCCGTGAGCTTGGCTCGATGACCGGTCCTTCCGTTCCCGAAGATCCAAACACGGTTCCTGTTTGAGCTTTATTTGTGTGGCACCCGAGACCCTTTCGGCCACGTGCCGGCCCTGCCGACTCAGCCAGAGTTTTGATTTTGGGTCGCTATCACGGTCGGATACAGTGCGATAGGGATGCTGCAAATCACATACTGTCGCTTCGTAACCCGGGCCATTTACCTGTGAGAGTGTAGGATCCACGCTCTCCTACAGAAGGCAGGTAAGTAACAAGGAAGTTGGAGACCTCAGTCGTCCACGGTACTTTCTTCCTGCAGCTATGTATACTCTCCCTGCTACATAAAGTCGACATCAACTCTCAGGTGGGAGCCCCATGATGCACTGCTACCGGTCGACACAACAGCGATCATTGATCATTGTAATCCGTTTCGATGCCACAGAGATCACGTGATTGTTCAAGTCGCCTCGGAGAACAGGTCTACGGCCGTAGATCCTGACACCAACTTCTCCATGGCCTTTCCACCCTGAAAGAACCGTACCCCGGAATCCCAGACAGCTGAATAGAGAGGTCGGATGGATTGGTGCTTTAAGCCCCTAGATCCGCCTCTAAGCCTTTGCTGCAGAACGCGGCAGATTCCCATGCACAAGGACATCATGACGGGTCTAGAAATTTAAGCAGCCGAATCCGACCTTTGCAAAGGGTTCTTCCAGGGGGTTATGTGGTTTGACGAGCCCAATCTGAGTGGAGAGCAGAAAGGTGCGGCCTTTGACGGTGAACCGCAGGCCACTCTATGCAGGATCTGCTTCATGGCTGCTCGGAGGTGACAGGGCCCATAGAGTTTCAGGTTTTTGGGCTCGGCATCTGAGGGCCATCGTGTTTCTTCAAGGTTTGGGGCTTTAAAGGCTGGTTTGCGGAAGCCACTCTCAAGACAACGGCTTTGCTTTCCATCCCTCCACTTCCCTGGCGGACAGAGACCCTTGAAGCTTTAAACTTCAATCCCGGAGACACCGAATGCCCAAACCCTAACACCCTGAAACACTGAATCCCGAAGCCCTAAGGGCCCTTATGGACCTTTAGATTCAGTGATGAATTGGGGAGAAGGGTTCTGAGTTGGAAGGCCTGGAGGCAGATGCTCACTGCCCTTGGAGAGGCCCGGTGAGTCTGGTAGGAATGGTTTGTGCCGGCTTAGGAGCTCATGGTTCGGGACGTAGTGGGTTTGGGAGTATGTGCGTTTAGCGTCTCAGGCTTTGTGGGTGAAGATTTTTCTCCAGGTTTTTTCGGGAGTGCTTCGAGGTTTTTTTGTCCTTCAGGAGGGCGCCTGAGGTTGACGGTTTGTGTTTAGCTTGGCTTAGCGTTCAAGGTGTACGAGGTTTTTGAGAACAACGACTTGTGAGGTTTTAGGTAGGCCTTGAGTTCGGAGATGGTGCCCAACGCTGTACCTTCAGTGATTCCGAATCCCTCGGAAACAAAGTCCAAAGCGTGCACCTCCTATAGTCCCGAGTCCATTTTTTGGCGCTACACTAGAAGTTCTAGTCCCTAATTATCACTTCAGCTAGACCGTTGTCTACCTCCCAAACCCGATTCGGTAAGGGTTTAGGGCTCAGTCGACAGGTTGAAGCCCGGAGTCTGAACAATCTCTGAAACAGCCCCACCAGGTGGGACGGAAGTATGGCAAGACGCCTTCTCAGGCGCATGGAGAGAAGGTTTTGGTGTTTTGGGGGTTGCGGAATGTTTAGGGGGGCTTATAGGGCTTCCTGTTTCAGCTGCTCCCGGCGTTGTGGGCACTCGGGGTTCGATGGAAGGCCAGAACCAGGCCTGCCAGGCTTCAGGGTGTGGGTCAAATCGGTACTTAGAACACTCTAGTCCGAAGAGACTGCACTACTCTAACGCCGCGCTGGCCCAACCCTCCCACCCCTCAAATCGACCGTCATGCTCGTACACTCTGAGCTCTAAACCTCTAAGTCTACATTCGAAGTTTCACGGGCGCGAAAACCTAGTACTCCCACCCTATGATACTCTGGACCCTAGTTCCTTGGACAGGTCGCCATCAATTGGGTCCTTTGCCAGGCAAGGGTTTGGCTTGGGTGTGAAGCCGCTCGGAGGTTAATGCAGGGCATTGAAGTCGGTTGGCATGTTTTCAACGTGTTTTCGGTTTGTGGCTTTGGGTTTGGGTTCAGGGGTTTAGGGTTTGGGTTCAGAAAGGGGCAAGAAGGACTTCTGCTTGATCCATGTCCTTGCATGTGTTTCGAGAAGCCTAAAAAAAGGCAAGACAATAACAAGGTCTTCAACCGAAGACGTCGCAGTCGCAGTGCGAAACCTGATTTTTCTGTCGGAACCCTTTAGGCTTTTGCGGTGACCCACCGGGCTCAAGCAACACACAAGCGTGGATGGAGTGGACTTTGCTGTTTTTGGCTTGGCGGGCCGGCTCGGAACGTTTGGAGTAGTTGTACAAGGGTTCAGCCATCGAAGCATGCCTACCCAAAAATAGCTTGGCCAGCGCGCAATCGCAGGGCGCCGTGGCCATTCCTGGAGCCTCGCGCCAAAGCCAGTGTGCTTGTCTTGAGAGTTGGGGTTTGGACATTTGGAACTTTAGCAACTGAGCTCGGACCGAATTTCGGATCGTCTTCCGGGGGTCGGCTGTATTTTCCGGCGTAGAACTTGAGTCCCTGGACTTGCAAGTGTCTGGTGGGCATTGATAAAGGCCTTGTTCGGATGATGGCGAGTCATGGTTCTGCTGTTTCCGCCCCTTAGTGTATTGGCTTTTTTTGAAGAGTTTAAGTGTTCTGGAGCGAGCTAGCTTATGGTCTTGTTTGAGTGATGTCCTATCATCAGTACTGTTCTTCTTCGTGTTATTGCTTTCTACTACTGTTGTTGCTTTTGTGTTCTGGCATCGAGATTTCTGTGATGGTGGCGATGGCTCAGGTCGACGGCTCAGGGCTCTTCGGTGTAGCTTATACTATTTCGGGGGGGGGGGGGGGGGGGGGGGGGGGGGGGGGGGGGGCCTTATTATAATTATAGTATAATGGGCCCCAAAACCCTATTCTACTCATTAATGTTGACTTTATGCGTCGGACATCCCACCAAAGAGGGTGTTCTTTGAAGCGACAGTTTCTG